TTGGATCAGAAACTCTTTGAGCTGCTTCTGGCAATCAGCCGCTGCCTGAACAACATGGAGCAGATGTTAAGCACCTGCACACTCACCAGTGAAGAAGCTCCTATGCAACAGATGCTTTATGAGGTAGATACAGATGAGAGTTTTTCTCCGTCCATGATACTCAGAGCTGTGTGTACTCAAAATTTATCCTTAACCACATTCAAAACAAATCCGATGGCCTGGATGCAGAAGCCTCCCAGGGATGTCAGCTTTCATTTTTAACAGAAAGGAAGAAGCAGGTTTCTATACCTTAAGATTGTAAACCTTTGCTTGAAAATTAGAGAGAGCTTGGGGATTCTCTCTCCTAGACCAACATGCTGTCCTCTACAGCACAAGTTACTTTTTTGGATTACAATATCCATATGTCCCAGCTGTGCTAGCCAGGGAACTCCGTGAACTATGTGTTTTTTTTTTTTTTAAAAAGCCAGGTTCTTGATTTGTCTATGCTTTTTGTCTCTGACAAACTTTAGAAGGAAGGATATCCCTGAGTGGGTCAAAGAGCCACTGTTCCTTTCTTTTCAAGGCAGTTTTAATTTAAAACTTTTATGAGATGGTGCCTGTGGAGGTAAGGAGGGAGCCAAAATTCCCCAAACATAAACTTCCTGAAGTTTGGAATGAGTGCCAGAAAATAACATTTGTATTATTGCTGCAGTATATTTTCTTCATAACATCCAAACTAATTATTGTATCAGGACAAAGGGCCCTGTAATGTACGATATGAGTTACATTTTCACACTCCATTCCACTCCCTAAAGGGCAAAACTAATGCAGGAATCTGGAGGGTGTTCAGGAACATGTTGTTTTCAAATAATAATGATCTCGTCCTATTGATGATTAACTTTTTGCACAATGAGAGAGAAAGGAGAGTATAAAATGTCATAGTACTGAATATTTTTCCTCAAAGGTAAAAAGTGAACAAGCCCAGAAGGAAGTATTATTGTATCCTTGTAAGGCTGCCTTCACACCCTCCAACTGTCTTGATTTGTCAGGGACAGTTCTAATTAATCCTGTGTTGCCCCACTTTTCAGCTGCTTTTAAAATGTCCCAGTTTCTCTCTCCTTTCACTTTCCTCCTTTGTCCTCAGCTTCCTGCAGTTGCCACAAACTGAGTTCAAAGTGCAAAATTAGTTTGCACACACTTAAATCACTGGATGGGAGGAGGAGAGGAGGGGCCAGAATCTTGCCCTTTCCTATAGACTCAGGCAAAAGCAAACTGTTACAGCCTCACTTAGCTTGTGTGTTCTTCCTCATTAATATCATTTGCCATTATATCCATACTGATGATGTTTGGCCTTTCATGTCCCAGTTTTCATCTGTTAAATATTGGAGGGTATACCTTTTATTTAACAGATTGAAAACTGATTCATTCCCCCAGCTAGAATACCTTTTACAAATATCATATTTACCTGTTTCTTTTGTCTTTTTCTGTTTCAGACTCTTTCTGCTGAACTACAAAAACTTCATGCAGATATTGGTGATAAAAAGGAAGATCTTTTGAAGTCCATCACCTCTGCTGGTGGTAACCCTGAGAGATTCTCTCAGTGTTTTAGCAGCTTGCAGGCATGGCTGCAACAGACAGAAACAGCCACTGCTTCTAGGAGCAAATGTATGAAAGCTGACCTGGACCATTACCATAATTATGAGGTACTGCTTTTTGAATTTTCATGTTGTTTCCCTTGTATCCTTTTAAGCCACTTCTCACAAGAGGCACACTTCGTCTTTTTAGCACTTCCTACCAGAATGACATCACATTGAACATTTTGTGT